AATTAGACAGGAAGGAAGCAAATATCTGCTTTCTTGGTGTATCTTTCTCTATAGACTTTACCACAGCAACCATAGTAATTATTTGGGCTAGAGCTTGTATCACCAGCAGCAACTGTAGCAGCAGGAATTCATTTTCAAAAGGCAGCATCATGAAAAATTAAACCAGCAGAGCCACATATTTTGAATCTGGCAACTGAAGAACAAGAAGCCTATTGCTTGGAAAATTAAAACTCAGCTGGTGATGTTTTGAGTGGCAAATGAGGAAGAATGAGAGCAGCAAGCAACACCCACTGAACTCACTAGTTTCCTATAAACTACAGGTTGTCCTCAATGGAGCTCAAAATTCCTGTTGCTAAGCAAGATACGTAGTTGTTAAATGAGTTTTGCCCCATTTACACATTTTCTTGCCACAGTTGTTAAGTGAATCACTGCAGTTAGTAACATGGTTGTAAAGTAAACCCGTCTTCGCCACTGACTTTGCTTGTCAGAAGGTCGCAAAAGGTGATCATGTGATCCCGGGACACTGCAACGGTCATAAATATTAACCGGTTGCCAAGCAGTTGAATTTTGATCATGTGATCATGGAGATGTTGCAATGATCCTAAGTGGCAATAAGTCACTTTTTTCAGTGCCGTTGTAACTTCAAGCGGTCACTAAATGAATGATTGTAAGTTGAGGACTACTGTACAGTAAAGCAACATGAAGTGGAATATTATTTTTATGCACCTAGACCAGTGGTGGGTTGCATACTGGTATGCAGTAGGGGCATACCAGTGCCTGCCAGGAACATCGGGTACCGTTATGGTATGGTGCTCCTGAGGGCCCACCCAACCGCCCATCCTCCTTACCTGTATTTGAGCTCTTCGGCGCTTCTGCACACGTGCACAGCACGTACAGCATCTGCGCAATGCTCCACTGAGCAGCTGGAGCATCGCGGAGGCGTCACAGGAGGTAAGGAGGCATGCACATTCATGTGGTGGATGCTGGGCTCCGTTGCACTGTACCAGTTGCACCGGGATCTGGAACCCAGCACTGACCTAGACACACAAGCTTGGGTTGATACATCATGGCTAAGCCATAGTTGCCTTAAGTCACAAGCTGCAAATGATTGTTACAAACCACTGTGGCTACTTTTATACTTTGAGCCAAATCCAAAGGAAGCTCATGAGTGCTGAGTCATGAACAGAGACATCTAACAGGACCTGGGTTGCCCAAGGCACAAAAAAGTTGAACTTCTATGTTTCTTGGCTTGCTTTTTGGAATTTTCTTTCTGCTCAACTTTCAGAATTTTTTGCTGTAGGTTGCACATAGGGAGAATGTGATTAAGGGATTTGGTTCATTTTTTAAAAAAATATTTAATTTTTATGAAATATTTTATTTTTATAGAATAAAAACAATACAAAGTTTGTAAAAGAGAAGAAAGGGATGGGTAAGTAATAAATAGAAGGAAAGAGAAAAAAAGAAAAAGAGGATATAAAGCAGAGATTTCCTAATTCTTTATGGCAATTATAAATGCATTTATATTTTATCCTCTCTCTCTAAGGTTGTCTTGTGGCTCCCTTCATGATGTATTCTTTCTATTAGTCAAACCCATAAATCTCCAATCCATTTTTTTCAGGTTTCAGCAAAAAGTCCATAAAGGATTTCTTGTTATTAACAAAGGTAAATTCCCTAATGAAAGAAATAGTCAATTTTGCCATCTCTGGAAATTCTGTCATCTTCCCCAACCATTCCTCCGTTGTGAGTATTTCAGAATCTTGCCATCTTTGTGCATATAATAATCTTGCTGCATTTACACATACAAAAACAAACTTCCTGAAATCTTTTCTAATTTTCTATCCATTAGTTGCAGCAAGAAACAATCTGGTATGAATAATAATTTTTAAAATTCTTCAGATTGCTCTATTTTTCTAGTTGTTTTTTTTTACAAGTCCATCAAGCATGATTAAATGAGCCGTCATGTTTTAAGGATTTGCTCATGTCTCATGTCCACTCCAATTGCTTTGGGTTCATAGAGTAGTCAAAAAAGGCAAGAGGTTATTCAAGATTCATTGCCTTGCTCCTTTGGTATCTGTGCTGAAATCATGTGCAGGTTTCAAGGAGAGGAGATATAGTTAGGATAGCCACCTTCACTTTTTGACACACATACACTTTTTTAAAACTATGTAAAAGAGGTAGAGAGGCTTCTATTTTTCAGAAACCACTGCCCTATTCCAAAGAACTGTAGTGGGAGGGTGGTTAGAATGCAGTATTGCAGGTTGACTCTGCCCACAGCCAGGAGTTCAATCCTGACTACCAAAAGGTTGACTCAGGCTTCCATCTTTCCAAGGTCAGTAAAATGAGGACCCAGATTGTTTGGGGGCAACATGCTGACTCTGTAAACTGCTTAGAGAGGGCTGTAAAGCACTGTGAAGCGCTATATAAATCTAAGAGCTATTGCTGTTCTAAGGAGCCATGCTTCTGACAATCAGTGGATATTGGTATTTGAGAGTGGAAGAGCTCTGCATGGTTATTCTAAATAACATCCCTATTAAAAAGTGACCTCTATTATAATTATTGTAAAAATGATATGAAAGTATATGTCTGAGAGCACTTTTACATTTGCAAAGCTGTCAACGTGCATGACAATATCTGCCTAATTTAGATACTTCGGATAACACCCCTATGCCTCTACAGAAAGGGAGAACAAGGAATACAGAGGAAGTAATGTTCTCTCTTCTTCTCTCTCTTTCTCAAATACTTGTTGATTGAAGAATTCTGGATGGTCTCAATAAAGCAGGCTCTGAAAATGGGACCCCACCCTGCCCCCCATATAGACCAAATGGCAATGTCTGCTTTTTGTGGCATTTAGGTAGCTTATTTTGAAATTGTATTTGTAAATTTCTCTTCTGTTGATGCCAGGTCCTCGAAGCCCCCAAGTCCTATTTGAAATTAAAGTGTTTGTCTAGGCATTAGGATGGTTGTGTATACCTTCACTTTGGATTGTTGCAGTTGCCCCTTTCTTTCCTGGTTTTAAGATTTTAAAATGATAGTCATGCTTAATGGTGTCAGAGTTTTTCCTGAATCATTATGTATATATACACACTGTGAAGACATGTAGAACAGCAAAGGGTACATTGCTCTGTCTGCCACAGCTATAGTAGTTCTAAAACGGGCTTGTGTATATAATAGATAACATTAAATCTATTATTTATTTTATTGGGCTCTTGGATCACAGGGAGAAAAATGGGCGCCAGGCACATTGATTATTCCATTGAGTTAGTGAGCAGTATAGTGTATACACAAGCTTTAGGGGAGAGTGTAAACAATATGTATGTGAAAAACTAGCTTAAGTATGGGGATTATAACACTGGATTGGATCCAGATTTGGACCTTCTTAAAGCGATCCCCAGAAATCAATGTGAAGATAGTGACTAATTTAAGTACCATTGATTTCAGTACGTCTAGTCTTACTAGGCCTTGATCCAACCTCTGCTCTAAAATTTATGAATGTAAATTATATATTATTTGTTGACATGACTTCCTTTAGAATTTACCTTCCAAGTGAACTATAATATTGGGCATTATTAAAAGCAACGGCAAAAGTTCCCCAATGTAACATGTCTACCTCCTTCTTCTCAGGGAGTTATTGATAGACTCAGATACACACTTAAGCAAAGAGTAGTACTACATTTGATTATAGAGAGTTGTATATGTTGATGACTTTGTATTTTAAAATGGTTTTAATCTACTACTGTTAGAAGCTGTTAATCTGATCATGGCGGAAATTGGAAATCACAACGTTATCAGCAGCAGAATATTTCAGAATGTCAAATCTTCAGAACTGAGTCCATCTCTAAATATATTCTTCTCCTTCTCATCCATGTTGCATCAATAGATTCTGGAATTGCAATTGGTTCCTTCCCCCACTTCTTCCTATAACCTCAAATATTTGCATTGGGAATCTGGAGAGATGGCAGGCAGGAGTGAAATTCTATTCTACAGCAGTATGTATTCTGCTGGTAGATAGATATAGCTGGATAAAGCTCACTCACTTTAAAGCAATCTTTCTTGATTTAATGGAAAATGAAGGCAACTGTGTTTGGTCACAGGCTAAATGGCAATGTCATGTCATGACTGATTATTCAACTGAGGATTCATCATCAGAATAAAGTTCTGTAAGTTTCCCCTCCCCCNAAAATCGGTACTTTTTCAATACGCGACGGGACGCGGGAAAAATTATTGAAACGTGTGCCTGTCCCGCCAGATGCGGGACGTCTGGTCACCCTAGGCATGTGTGTCTGCCACTTCCACAGACTGGTTCCCAACAGGCCACAGACTGGGTTGGGCCCCCTGGATTAAGCCATCTGTCAAATGTATAAATTGATTTTATCAGTTTACATATTATGTACGGTGATGTTATTAATTTGTGAAATGCATTTTATTTCATTAAGCAAAGATGAGGAAACACTGTTTCTTTCCAGACAAGTGATAGGCAAAAGAATTTCTTTTGTTAATTATGTCACTTATTCAACCTACAGTAGCCTGAACCTGTATATGTTTACAAAAATGGATTTAAAAGAAGAAACCCATTTCCTATGACTTCCTCACTTATAATGGTCCTAATGTTTGTAATACAAACACAATAGAGATAACACAGCATTGCTTATCCTGTGTCGAATTGAGTAGCAATTATACTTCTAGAGAGGCTCATATACACAACTGACTCCGGCAAAGGGTCATTCTTAAGTTTGATGGGGTAAGTAGCTTAAGTGGAGCCTCCAGGAAGGGTCAACCCAGGCAATATGGCATCCGTGGCATTGCAATCCAAGGCCTGCCCCTTTAAATGTTGCACATATCTAAGAAGGGATGTAGCTTCATGACATGAAATACTTTTGAGGTATCTCTGAAATTTATTAGCATTGTAAGGACATGGTCAGAATGAAGTATGCATCATTTCCATTTCAGCTATGCTTAAGAGAAATCATCTGGGTTTTATTGTTTCTGTTTCTGTTTTATAGATCAGACTTATTGTGATCGTTTGCGACAGGACACGGCTTTTCTAACCAGCAATGGCAGACTGAGTGAACAGCTGGTTGATAAAATCATTCTTCAGCTAAATCGAGTTTATCCCCAAATTCTCACCATTAAAGAAGCTGAAAAGGTAATCAAGAGAAAATGGTGTCTGCAGATACATATTAATTTTTCTGTGCTCATTTTATGCAGCTACAGTTGCATTCTTGAATTATTATTATTTTTAATTCTAAATCAATAATATCCCTGGATGTGGCTGAGAAAGGGTTAAGATCCAGAAAGCAATAATTGCTAGTGGTCCAAGAATAAGAAGCCAAAATGAAAACCTTCCAGTGTACAAATGTGGTTCTCATATCACATTTGTAGTATATGTTTAAAAAACTGAACAATTCATATACTTCTAGAAGACATTGATTTTATAGATGAAGATTCTGAAAGCTGAGACTTGTTCCTATGTAACTAATGAAGCCACAGCATAGAATCTTAAAATACTCAACTGCCATTCTTTTATCATTTATGTAGCTTAATTCCATTCAAGTTTGTTAAATAAAAGTGCACAAGATTTCAGTATTGGCATCTCTTTATACCAGTTATAAGTCTGATAGTTATCATGAAGGTAATTCCAAGAACAGATATGAACACTCTTAATATATACACTGTTAGTGGATAATTTCTATTCATATCTGCACCATTGACTCATGAGTAAGTGGTGTTTGTCAAAGGTGCAGTACACACAGCATAATTGATTAGAAGAATAGCTCAGCTATTTTAGTCACAGCTGCAGGATTTCTTTTTTTAAAAAGGACATAGATGCTATGAATGAGAATAGTTCAGCCCACGTTTTTGCATGTGGGCTAGAATATTATTTCGTTTCTGCTGTTAAGAAAAATCAGGACCCAGAGATTAACCTGACACTCCTTCTCTTAGTGAATGAGGCACTTCAGTACATGAGATTTTGATTCTCTGTATGCATTATCTCCCTCCCTCCCGCCGGGCATGCTCACAAGTCCTTGACTCTGAAGCTTGTCCTGAATAACATAAATTCTTTTTTAAAAATAATAATAATTGCATTAAAAGTTTAAAGACAAAGGTAAAAATGAGTGCAAAGTATATAAATAAGAAAAAAAATCAGCGAGAAAGCTAAAAGTGCAAGGGAGAAAGAAAAAGATGTATAGAAAAGAAAAAGGGTTCACCAACAAATGCGCACTCGACAAAAGCGCACCGACAAAACCGCGGCGAGAAAACCGCGAGTTTGAAATAGCACCGACGAATCAGTGCAGAAGCGTGCCAACAACAGCGCGTTGACAGAAGCGCGCTCTAAACCTAACCCTAAACCTAACCCTGAACCTAACCCTAAACCTAACCCTAACCCTTACCGTAACCCTAACCTTAAACCTAATCATGCTTCTGTCGGTACGCCTTTGTGGGCGTGCTGTCGACGTCGTGGTTTTATCACCGCAGTTTTGATGGCGCACATTTGTCGGGCGCGCATTTGTCGGGTCATGAAGAAAAAGATACAAAGAAGTGGCTTCTTTAAAGCTGTTACAAGTACACTTCTCTAAAGTTATACAGTGACACTCTGCTTTCTATAATCTGCCCCGCCTAATCTTCAAAACCATACATAAATTGATTTTTTCTGTATTAGACAAAAAGTCCATGAAGGGTTTTCAATCAGCAATAAAAAGTAGATATCATTTCTCTGATCAGAGAAGTCAGTTTGGCCATCCGAGTGAGTTTCCTTATCTTCACTAACTGTTCCTCCATTTTGAATAGAACAAAATGGATCCTTGAACCAAGGTTCCAGAGTGGTGTCACCAGAAAAAAATGCAAGGTAGACTAATTGTGAACAGAAGATCATCATGTCTGATCCCTGTTACAAAGAATAAGTAGTTTCTTGCATATATACAGATTGGGGAAAATCTCACTCTTTCCTTCCTCTGCTAATTATCCCTGCTAAGGCAAGGATGGTTTATCCAGGAAATTAGGATTCCCCCAAGACCTGTTATGCTGCTTGTGTAAAATTAGTCCCTACCTGGCTTGGATAAAAATCTAAAAGAGAAGCTAGGAGGGGTTTCTGTATTGCATTGCACATTTCTTTTAGAAGAACATGTGAGAGCTGCTATCATTTTTACTCCAAGCCAAAAAGTGTCAATACTCAATGACACATCAGAAAAACATCTGGAAGGTAAGAAAATATTTTTAATTCGTAGGTTGTTGCATAGCTCCTTCAAGTAAAGCTCTTTTAATCAGAAAGTATTTATCTAAATGGCATCAAACTTCCAAATGCTATGAACATATGCCCATACTATTTGGATTCTTATTCTGTAGCTGCAGGAGATGTATCCATGTGTTTGTTAATATTCATGTAGAACTCTGAGTGGGATTGCCCTCTGTTTGCAGCCAGAACATCCAATCTGAAACAAAATCTTCCATAGTGCACTCGTAGTGTAATTGTCTCTTGTTTGCACCTGCACACATACATCTTCTCCAGCAAAGGAAATTACAATTGCATTACTGTGTAAAATAGGAATGAGCTGATTTACATGTAGATGCACTTCCAAGCCTGAATGCTTCCAACCGATGCATAGGTTATGGCTTTTCAGTTCAATCCACAGAAAGTATCAAAATGTGAATATAGGCTTATAGACATATAGATAATTAAGTTGGACTATATCAAGTGCGGTATGATGTTTTGAATTTGCCCTTTAAGATGTAACTCATAAATAAATAAACAGGCAATCAAGCAATTTTGAAAATATAGAATCCAACTATTCTCTGGAACTGCCAATTATTATCTGGAACTGAAGAATGAGCCTTTGAGTCTATGAGAATTGCCATAAAGTTCTGGAATCAAGGATTGACCTTTCGTTCCCATAAACTCCATAGTGGACAGACATTTCTTGCTTACTCAACTCATAATGGATATCACTGGGTAAGCAAGCCCAATCACAAAGGTCTATGTGGCTTCCTCATGGTAGGTGACCTTCAGAGCTCTTGACTCTTGGTGGTGGAGAGAATATACTTTAGACATGAAGAGTCCCTCTGCTATTTTGTGTATGTGTTAACAAAAACTTATCTGTTGATAAGTTTGAACAGATCCTGAAGATGAAACTCAAGTACTTTGGCCACCTAATGAGAAAGAAGGGTTCACTGGAGAAGAGCCTAATGCGGGGAAAGATCGAGGGCAAAAGAAGAAGGGGATGACAGAGAATAAGGTGGTTGGATGGAGTCACCAAAGCAGTAGGCATGAGCTTAAGTGGTGTAGTCCATTTAAGCTCACACCTAGGATGGTAGAGGACAGGAAGGCCTGAAGGAACATTGTCCATGGGGTCACAATAGGCCAGACAGGACTTCGCAACTAACAACAACACATTTGAAGAAGCTACAAATCTAGTGTTGTACTCTTTTGTGTGCTGCAGAAATGAGATGGGGAACTGTTTTAACATTCTACGGTAGTTGTGGCAGTGAAATCTAGTTCTTGCAATCTAAATAGTACTTTTTCTCTACAGTTTCGGAATCCCAAAGCTCCTCTTCATAGTCGGCTATCAAACCTTATAACTCACTTGAAAAAGAAAGGAGACAAACCCTGTCAAGAATTTTACCGAGCTTTACAGATCAATGCTGAGCATCTCTATAACAACTTGCCAAGCAGGAAAATTATAAGTAAGTTGGATGCTAGCAGCTTTCTTCAGTCATTGTGTTTTAATTCTTCCAAATTCTTGTGCTCCGATTTGTCTATTTTCAGAAACTTCAGTGAAACTTCTGCTGTTCTGTTTCTTATAAATACTCAGAGCTGCTCAAGTGATCTGACAATTAAAAGTTTGTTCTCAATTCCTTCTTGATATTTTTTGATATCTGTTTACAATCACTAGGCGTCACTGGCCGTACCCAAATATATATTTAAATACATACTTCTGCATAATGTTGAGTTCTCAAGCTGCTTGTTAAAAACACAGAAAAGTGATATTGCTTCTGGATAAAGAGGATAAAGGCTACAGGACTCCATTGTGCTTTGATTAGACGGTAATCATCTATGTTTGCAAAGTTGTCTCTTTGGCCTAGAAGGTTAAGGTCATTTTCAGAGTCAATTGTATGCATTTTGTTAGGAGAAATTCCACAATTATGACCTTTATTGCACAAGAGCTACCTAAGTTGAAATGATTGCTTCTGCTGTGTGGCTGTAACATAGGCTAACATACAGAGAGACTGGATTCAGATTTACCGTATTTTTCAGAGTATAAGACATACTTTCCCCCCTAAAAAAATGGGTGTGTCTTCTACTCCAATGATAGCTTTTTCGAAGCTTTTTTTCAGCCCTAATGATGTGCTACCGAATGAAACGATCTTCCATGCTTTGCCTGCTTTTCTCATTGCTTCTCCCTCCAACGATCAGCTGGGCTTTAGAAGCTGTTTTTCAGACCTAATGAAGCACTAACGAGTGAAGTGATCTTCCATATTTTGCCTGCTTTTCTCATTGCTTCTCTCTCCGACGATCAGCTGTGCGTTAGAAACTGTTTTTATCCCCAACCAGGGGGTAAAAACCAGCAAACTTATGTGTTGAAGCTGACCAGATTAAGGACGCTAGCCAGATGAATACCTGGTAGGCAGAATTTATTTTTCCTATTTTCCTCCCCAAAAACTAAGGTGTGTCTTATACTCCAGTGCATCCTCTACTCCCAAAAATATGGTAATTAAGAGAATGGATGATGCCAAATGTGTAGCTATATCTAGATTATGTGCAGATTGTATAGAACAGATTCCAGATCAAGCCTAACTTCGTTTCCGTTATTTAAATTCTTTTTTTGCAATTCACCCGAAAATTGATTATGAATTAGTTTATACTTCTATTCATATTATCTGTGTTACTAAACATCCAAACTCTTCCATTTTTGTGTTTGTAGTTCTTTGGTGAGAACTAATTTAGTGTAGTAGTTAAAGATACTTGGTAGAAACTGAAAGACTAAAAATTTTAGTCCTGCATTGGGCACCAAGTCAGCTGGGTAAAATAGGACCAGTCAGTTTCTCTCAGCCCTAGGAAAAAGAAAATGGAAAACCACTTCCCAAAAGGTTGCCCCCCAAAATTGGATGTTCTGCTTATACCTGATTCTTTTTCTATGCCAATATACATCATTACTATTTATTTATTTGTTTATAAAATTTATATGGCTGCCTGTCTTACAAGAAGTGACTTGGGGCAGCCTACAATAATCAATATTTACCATTGTAAAAAATTATTTGCATATACTAATCAGGGACAAAAATATGAGTTATTCTATATTGAAAAATGCAACAAACCATGTTCTGGGCTCTACGACAAATGTGTTAAAATATGAAAACATTAGAAAAATTTGAAACAGATAATGTTCAACCAGATATGTATGTAGGTTTCTAATTTGCAAGAAAATTGCAAAGCATGGCAAGAACTGATCATCCATCACTATCAACTCAAGTTCTGATATCCTCACAGTTGTTATTTTCATAAAAGTGTGCACATAATTCAGTGTAGTTCACAAAGCAAAATTCAGCATGGTAAATATTAGTTAAAGGAGGGAAAACTTGAGATATGTGCTTAGGCTTAGCTTCAGTCTGAATTATAGCAGGACCTGAAAACCAAGAAATCATAACCCTGGGTCCAACCCAAATTTTTACCCAGACTGTAAATATTTCATCTCTGTTTAATTATGTGCCATTATCACTTATGTGCCATCAGAGCAATGTTGACTCTTTATCAACCTTGCTGTGCCCCCAGCTTAGCCCTTCAGATCTTCCTATAGTATATCCATTGCCACTGTAATTGAATCCACCCACCTTGTTGCTGGTTGTCTTTTTCTCTTTCCTTCCATCTTTCCCAACCTTATGGACTCCTCAAGGGAACTCACACTTCACATATTGTGTCCAAAATAAGATGATTAAGCCTGATCATTTGAGCTTCCAAGTAAGAACTCTAGATGATTGATTTGTTTATTTTCTTGGCTACCTATGATAGTCTTCTCCAACACCAGAGTTTAAAAGAATCAATATCCTTCCTATCCTCCTTCTTCTTCTTCCATAGAGTGCCACAGGGAAAACCATCAACCTACACAAAGCTGATCTTTGTAGGTATAGACAGCTACAAACTGACTATATTTCTAGGACTTTATAGCTATTCTACCAAGTCTCAACAACATTTTTGACTATTGGTTCTTTTCCTGTCAATAGTTGATTTTAAAAAAGTAAACCCAACTGCTGTACAATATCTTCACTGCCAGTTCAGAGGCTGGTTTTTGTACCTATTGTCATGACTTTGACTTTCATTGTTCTTCATCTTAATTCCAGTTTTTCCCTGTGTTCATTGACTTTTGTTCCTTGATTTCATTTTCATACTATTTGCATTTTCAGATATCAGAGTATTGCCATAAGCATAGGGTAGGCTATCAGGATTTCTTCATCCACTTTTAAAGCCACACTAATCATCTTCTAGTCCAGTTTCCCTCTGTATATTTAGCTGTTTCTGTCTTTTGAGTCAGTATTGATTCCTGAGATCTGTCTGGAGCAGCTCCTATAGATTTTTGACAAAATTTCAGAAGCCTTTGCCTTCTTCCTAGGGCTGAGAGTAAGACTGGCTTTGGGCCTGGTGCCTTAACTATTATACCAAATTGACTCTCATATTCAGCATATAGGTTTAATAGACAAGGCAACAGTATATACCAGTGATGGCTAATCCCATTGCATGCCAAAAACGGGGGGAGCACGTGGGGGGAGCGTGCACGGGTCTATCCACCTCCTGCACACATGGGTGTGTGAGACCCATGCATATGTGCACACGACCCCCACCCTCTCCCTTCTTTTGGCGTGTGATGGACCCATTTTTTGCCCTCCTCAGGCTCCAGAGGCTTTCTAGGAGCCTGGGGAGGGTGAAAACAGGCTCCCCCACCTCCCGGAGGCTCTCCTGAAGCCTCCGAAGGGCGAAAAATGGCCCTACTGGTAACCCAGAAGTTCAGGAACTTGCCATAGGTTCGCCATCAAGGATATATACCTTTGTCTCATTCTTTTGACAACCTGCTGGTAGTCGATTTAACCATGTTATTTTTGATTTGGTTATGGAATTTCTTCATCTCTCAACACATAGACAAGCCACAATTTGAAATGGGAAGCTGTTGATATCCTAGACCAGTGTTTCTCAACCTTGGCAACTTTAAGTCCTGTGGACTTCAACTCCCAGAATCCCCCAGCCAGCACAGCTGGCTGGGGAATTCTGAAAGTTGAAGTCCACAGGACTTAAAGTTGCCAAGGTTGAGAAACACTGCGCTAGACCAATCCAAATCCAGAAATACTAAGGAAATTCTGGAACCATAAACAAAGAAGCCATATCCCAACCAAGACTAGCAGACCAGTGTATTGTACAGGTAGTCCTCGACATAACAGTTCCTTTAGTGACTGTTCAAAGTTACAATGGCACTGAAAAAGCCTACTTATAACCATTTTTCACACTATGACTGTTGCAGCATCTCCATGGTCATGTGATTTACATTCAGATTCTTGACAATTGGTTCACATTTATGATGGTTGCAGTGTCCCGGAGTCATGTGATCACTTTTTGTGATCTTCTGGCAGGCAAAGTCAACGGGAAAGCCAGATTCACTTAACAACGTTGTTACTAACTTAACTGCAGTGATTTGCTTAACAAATGTGTCAAGAAAAGTTGTAAATTGGGCAAAATTCACTTAACAAATTTTTCACCTAGCAACATACATTTTGGGATCAGTTGCGGTCATAAGTTGAGGACTACCTGTATATAATCTGAATAATTGACAGCAAATCCCATTCTCCATGCACTAGCAATGTTACCCAGTTTGGTAATGAAACATTTGCAGGAAAGCAAACAAGCTCACAGATTACCAAGAGCACAATATCCAGCACTATGTCATCTGTCCTTTGGGTTTGTTGGCAAATTTACAGGAGTGAAATAATGAGTTTAAATAAATAGATTGCAGGTAGCAAAGAGGAATAATAGATGTACTATACTCTCCTTAACAATTCGCAGGCGTTCAGTTGAGAAAGCATATTTGCATTAACATATTATGATGTCCGTCCAATCGATTTGGTATACAAGCTTCTCTTTTGTGGTTGCTGTAATAAACTTGCATTGCATTGTTTCTGACATTCCAATTTGTCTAAAACAGTGTCAAGAACTGCAGTTCCTGATAACTTTTTATGAATTGTAAGAGAAGGAAAAATTCTCCCATTATCAAATTCCTTTCAAATGTTATTTCTATGATTTTCTCTAACAACCTGGAATCAGAATGATATTGTTTAGTTTGACTGTGGTTAATGTGCTGATTTAAACTTTGAGCCAGGATTATTTTTCAGCACTGTACATCATTTGTTAGGTTTCTTGCTTCATAACAAACTATTTGTACAATGGCAAGAAAAGCTTCAATGAGAACCAGATGTGTCGTTGTGGTTGTCTGCTCCTATCCATAATAATACCAAAGTAATGAAGCTTGCGTCGGGACGTGGTAGCTTAGTGGCTAAGATGCTGAGCTTGTCGATCAGAAAAGTCGGCAGTTCGGTGGTTTGAATCCCTAGCACCACGTAACAGAGTGAGCTCCCGTTACTTGCCCCAGCTTCTGCCAACCTAGCAGTTCGAAAGCATGTAAAAATGCAAGTAGAAAAAATAGGGACCACCTTTGGTAGGAAGGTAACAGTGTTCCATGCACCTTTGGTGTTTAGTCATGCCAGCCACATGACCACATAGACGTCTTCGGACAGTGCTGGCTCTTTGGCTTTGTAATGGAGATGAGCACCGCCCCCTAGAGTCAGGAATGACTAGCACATATGTGTGAGGGAAACCTTTACCTTTTAATGAAGTTTGCATTATGACATGACGTGACTCTACTCTTTTGCACTTGTATGAGTATATGGCATGCAAGTACATAAATGTCTTTAGAATTTGCAAGGCAAATGCATGTTTCATCCTTGCTTCCCCTAGACACCATTGACTTTTCTTTATAATTTGTGTATTAATTGTCTAGATTTGGTTGTTAGGATTGATCTCCTAGCTAAAATAATGTCAAGAACTGTGATATCTGATTCCTCTGAACTGTCATAGAAGTGCTAGAACAAAAGACATCAGTGGTTGATTTATGATCCCTTAAATAGTTCTTTTTGCAGCAAGCACATGAGACTTGGGCAATAGACTAGTAAAGAGCACCTCTGATCTGTTTGCAATATGATTGAATGTTTTGATGAACAGCTTTAGTAATCCTACTTGTATCTTGTATTTTCCCATGGAATTGACACCACCACTACTCTGAGAGAAACAAGGTGAGAGCTGACTGAGTTTTATAGGCAACAGATTACAAATACAGCTGTGGAACTAAGTATAAGCTGAGTAGTAAATTGTAACCTGTTCCATTTAACTCTATGCAATTTACTCCTAGGAACATTATACAATACTATTGTTTGCAAAAATCACTATTAGCTTATATAGGGATAACAAGAAAATAACCCAATTGCCATTATTTGTGTCGCAGCAATGATGGGAATTGGGAACATGCTTCATTTTAAAGACCTTTATTAGAAATATAGATTGTCTGGTGTCAAGTGATTTGAATATTTCACTCAATACATCATTATTCTATTTTGCAATGCTAAGGCTATAACCAATGGGGCATATTGCTTCCCTAGTAACTAACTGTTTGTTTTACAATTTATCTGTTCCTGAAAGAGCCAAATATAAGGGTATATATTTTCAAAAGCTTTCCAGACTTATTTCATTGTTAAGAAGACAAGAAAAGTGCCTACTCTTTAGCCTTTTGTGAAAGTGCAAAAGTTAATCAGCTCCTTTGGTAGCTTTAGTTCAACATGTTCCAAGAACAAAGTAAGGGGATCAGTCAACCACATTTATTTTTGTCTTACGATTTTAGACTTGAGCTTCTCCTTTTTTCCGTTTTCTTTTTTTTTACAATAAAGAGCTAGGAATTTGCATGGATTTCCAGTGCAAATTACATGTTGCATTGCAGCTGTGTATAATGATACCCCGAGGCCTTGCTGTCAATTGTACAAGTCCCATGGGTTTGCAATGTACATGAGAAAAGAGACTGGAAGCCTAGGCTTTCTACCACTTCTGTCAACTTTTCCGTACTAAAGTGCTGGCGTTTGAGACCCATTCTTAGTGTTCAAACATCGATTTTTGAATACCCCCTGATAGAAAAAGCATTGAGCTTGGTCTGTGAGAAAGAACACTTTCAGATAGAAAACAGCTGGCTTTTAAACAAATGTCTGGGAATTGCACCAGCTGTATGCAAACCAATATTATAAGAAATTGTGACAATATTGTAGTTGAAATTAGATATTGGAGAATATCCAGATTTAGTCCAAATTCTCAAGATGGCTTTTCTTATTATACTGGTTCAAAGTTTGATGCATGTGTTCCAGAGTGCAAATACTGTGTGGAAGATTTTGGAAAGTAGAATTAAAATTGTTCTAGCTACTGCTAATAGTGATTAAACACAATAGTTCAGTAGTGACTCAAAATTACCAACACCTAGAGGTCTTGAAAGTAATCCTTGACTTACAACACAATTGAGACTGGAATTTTGGTCTTAAGTTGTGGCGATTACAAGTCAAGGCACCATTGTGACTGGACTCAATTTTAGAACCGTTTTTATGGTGGTTGCTAAACAAGTCACCATGATCATTAAGTAAACCATATGGTTGTTAAAAGAACCACAGAGTCATAAAATTGAGCCCATTTTATCCAAAAGGTTTCCCCCCCCCCCTGGTTTTTGCTATAAATGCCACAAAATGCAATCTGACTATTCCAACCAAGTACAGCAGTCGTAACTTCAAGGGTAGATTGTAAGTAATTTTTTCAAGTCCATTGTAACTTCAAAATGTCATTAAATGAATGGTCGGTCATAAGTCAAGGACTTCCTGTAATTAGTTCCAGGGAGGGAGAAATAAATCACAACACATCTGGAAAACAGGTTGAGGGGAGGCTGTTCCCTTCAAGTTATGCATGATTGTCAATAGCTTAGCTCCGTGATGGCAAACCTAGGACACATGTGCCAGAGGTGGCATGCAGAGCCCTCTCTGTGGGCACATGTGCTGTTGTCAGCTGCTCTTCCGGGTTCTTTCACATGCATGCCTGCTGACCAGCTGGTCTTCACACATGCATGCGCCGGAACCCAGAAAAGACCAGCTGGCCATGTGCATATGCATACCAGACCAGATGTCTGGTGCGCATGCATGCACCGGAACCCAGAAGTGGAGCTGGATGCCATGCACATGTGCACCAGCCAGCTGCTGTCTTCTGGGTTTTGGTATTCCAGCGGATGCACTCCAGTGTCAGCACTTGGTGCCAAAAACATTAACCATCACTGGCTTAGCTTATTTCTGCTGCTGCAGTTGGGGATAAAAAAAAGTCCAGGCCTTCCGCACAGCCCTTAAGACCTGGCTAGCCCGGCAGGCCTGGGGACAAAGATAATTGCCCCCACCCGAATGATGAATGAATGTTGCTTATTATTTTACTTCATGTATTGTATGTGTTATTTTTACTTCATGTATTGTATGTGTTATTGTTTGTATATCCCTTCCCCTCATTTTATGTAAGCCGCCTTGAGTCCCCTCAGGGAAAAGGGCGGCCTATAAGTATTAATAAATACCAAATACCAAAAGGTATAAATATCAGAGAAAAATATGTGACTACAGGAAGCAATATCTGTCATTGAAAATATCTTCCACAATTAAACCCTTTGGAGTAGGAAGGAAAATAGATTTATAGTTTAAGTTTGTCTTGCTCTGAAATAACTTCTTTTAAAAAATCTATGTAGGAACAAGGCTTTTCAAGCCAGGTGAAGGAGGAGGAGGAAGGGTTTTTTTTTGGGGGGGGGGGAGTTGGACATGGCTTCAACACCAATTGAACATTGAAACACCTAATGTCATTTATACCAGAAAGCCTTTATAACAAGAACCTTCTCTTTATATGCAGCAGCAAAACACAAGAACGAAATAGGCTAAACATAGGAAATAATGAGGGTTTGAGGCCATATTGTTTTGATTATATTATTTTGAAAATTAATTTCATTTTTTATGATTTGTTTCCTAAACTTGTTGGACTGTGTATAGCACTAACTCAGTGTATTGCTTTTGTTTCTAGAAACCTCAGATTCCACAGGGATAAACCCTGAGAAGGAGAAATATATTCTAAATGACAGGGGTAAATAACGTGTAAAATATTGTTGGCTGCATATGAATAATGAGGTTAACAAAAGTACTACGTTAATGTGATTGATTTTGATAACGTTAATCTTCAAAAAAAATTCATGCTGCAAGCATATGCATCAGTGTGAAAAGATTATGGTTATATATGTAAAATCTAAAAGGGGGTTAGTAATAATTAGAACTGGGTTGTATCTACCAATCAGCTTAATGTATTTGCTGTCTTAAAATTCTGCATCTTCTAAGGATTGGGAAGGGATCACCTAGGAATGCACCTGTGCCTGCCTCACATAAGGTATTTGGCAAAGAATTTCAGTATGCTTTTCCCAGTAGAGCATCCCAAGGAATTGTGCCTGTGATTTCCACAATAATAAGCAGCGAGGTTCAGCTTCAGCATCTATTCTTGCCACATAATTTTTGCTCTCATTTTTGAAGATTGTATAGGGTTTCATAGGCAAGGGACTGTGGGGCTCTACTCAATATTTTAAACAATGACATTTTGATTTAAACTTAAATTTACCTGCTGGCTGGGTTTCCTGGCAGGCTCCTGAGTGTTCAAATATGTGTCTTACTTCCTCTTTTGATATCTCTGCATACAATTTTTTAAAAGGAACGCTCCCTTTAGCTGCCCTCTGGCCCCTGACTCCTTTTCTCTTTTCTTAACGTTCTTCCTTTGAAGCCAGAAGGCAGGGAAGCAACTCGGCAGGTAGAGGTTATTAATGCTGTACCAAACCCAGCACATTGTTAAGGAGCCTATTATAATGTGAAAACTGCACACCAGGCTCCTTTTCTTTCCCCAGTCAAAGCCCCTCTGTCTCTTTCTGTCTCTGGCTCTCTCTCTCTCTCCCTCCCTCCCTCTCCCTTCCTCTCTCTCTCCCCTTCCTCCCTCCCTCCCTCTCATCCCCCTCTCTGTGTCTCTTTTTAAAAACATTAAACCCTGTACCTTTAGGGCTGCACCCACTGACCTCGTTCTAACAGCTCCATGTTTTTGGGTGGTACTTATCTCCCAAATGGTTGAGGCACAGCCCATTTGCAGTTAAGTAAGATGTGAACTGGTCTAGTCCAAGAAAGACTCAAATCTGTAGCCTTCACAAGGTGGGCACCGATTGGGTGAGGGGAAAATGTATCTTTGGCTTTAGGGTCCTGTAAGCAAGGATCCAGTCTGGGTCAGGCACTGGGACCAGAACTTTCCCCGAGGATGGGCTCCAGCGTGAGTCTGAAAGCTAGAAAGACTAAACCTCTGGTCCCGGGGGACCGACCCAGATTGGATCCTGCAACGTTACTCTGGGAAGATGTGTATTTGCTTTCATTCCTGTAAGCAAGTTTAACTGAACCTGAGCAGCTCTGGTAATGCAAGCTTCTAAATTTCTGAAGCGCTGAATAAATAAACATTTTTTGCACATTTACACCAATTTATCAATTGTATTTGGTCTGCATGACCCTTGGGAGATTTTTACACTTAACATGTGTAGATGGGGAAAGCGTCCAGTTGGTAGGGATATTGGGGGGGGGGGAGTCATCATTAGTCCTATCACATCCTCCCGTATTTTATTCAGCTCTGAATCTGGGAAGGTGAACATGGATAGCCAATAGGAAAAATGAGGATTCATAAGTTCAGCCATTGCCAAAAAGCCATCTATAATTACATAGCCTCTATAGTAGGGTATCATTTTACATTATTTTACAGTAATACACAGTATTATTTAATTTGACAAAACCGCTAAACTTATTACTATAGAATTTAAATCCCTGAAGAAAATTTCTTTTTGCAAGCTTTTAAAAAGGCTGATGATAAATGAAAAAAAGGAGTTACAAAAGTTACAATAAAGGCATCCATGATTCTAATTGCATTTGAAAAAAAGGGTGATATATTATGAAATATGAAGGAGAAAACAAAGTTGCTGCTTTTATTTCCTTCCTTTTCTAGGTCCTACGTTCTTTCTTGCCTGTTTCAGTATTGCTGCAGGATTAGCATTCTTCATGTATTGCTGCAATCCAGGTAATAAAAGTTTGATATTTTTCCCAAGACTTGAGCTAGTTTAAAAGGGTGCTTTATTTGGCTTCTTTAGCTTTCTATCAGACACACTTTAGCAGAGCTCAAACCTTGGTGGATGTGGGCTGAGCAAAAAGAGGAATGCATACAATTAAAGGACAAAACTAGTCCCAGTAAAATCCATCATTTTCTTAAATTCCATCTGTTTTTGTCATAGGTTGATATCTCTCTCCCCCCCCCCTCTCTCATATTTTATATTGACATTCCTTATCATCAAAATTCAGAGTTTTATTTTGGTAATCCAGCTGTTAATTTAGTATATTATTGTAAACATTAGCACTTTTGGGAATTACCTTTCTTTTCAGTTTTGGTAAATCAAAATGTTTTTTCTGTCCAAAACTGGAAAGATACGTTTATTGGGATAGATATAAACACATGAGAGTGTCTTGCATATCTTTAGACAGAGTTGTTAAAGTCATAACTTGATTTGCAGATTTGTTTCTTTAAAATGAAATACTCCATCACTCAGAACAGGCTTTAAATATTATTTGGTAGAAGCCAATTTTCATAATATTTTAATTAGTTCTCCCTGAGTAAAACTTTAGCAAGATATTTTTCTGAAATATTTGTTGAAGGAAAAATCCAGTATGCTTACACACCTGATTCCCTTCCCCCCCCCCACCACCACCTTTCCATCTCATCCCATATTATCATTTCATTTTAGACTCCAGAATTCTGGGAAAAGCCAAGAAGGTGCTGGGATTTTCCCCAATTATCATAGGAAGACATGTTAGCAACATCTGTTTGTTATACATGGAAGATTCATCAGGAAAACAGTAAGAATAAATGGGACAGCATCAGATTTCCCTGCCAATAGCACGGATGCTTTGCAAGCAATTGCTTTTTCATATACCAAAGATATAACTCAGATGCTTTAGCAGTCTTTGCTGCTTCAAAGGGCTTTCAGAAGATCACTTGTATTTGCCTTTTACTTTGTGGAGCATATTTTTTTTTATTTTTGTACAAGCTTATTTTTAAAAATTATTTATCACCTTGATAAAATATATTTTAAGGCAAATAAGCATTTTAACATGTCCTAATTCATTGCAAAGTCTTGAGAGTCAAGTCATGTATGTATGTGTATAAAGTAAATATATATATATATATATTGCATTCTGCCATTTTCTGTTACAAGATGAGCTGAAAGCTCCTGCTTAGGCTACTACTGAATGATGGAGCCTTGGTATGTCTCATTATTAAGAGGATAATGAACTCTACATAGAAGCTGTTCTGAGTGCCCTGCTTCATTGAGAACAAATGGAAGTTTTCCACCTAATATGAGTGACAATCTTGAATGCTGATGATAGAACCCATCGAGTTTTGTATATCAGCTAATCCATTATCAATTGTTCTCTTTTTTGTATTAATTGTATTAGACAAGAAATAATATTTGAAATAATGTATAAGCAATTATAAACAAATGCTATAGGTGCAAATGAACCGAAAGCCTTAATGAAAAATGGAGTGTATAGTTTTATTTTTAAATGTTAAAAGAACTCTGCATTCTTTGTTTTTAACAGACTCCAGGAGTTCCCTGATACGAATAACCTAGGCAAAAATAAGCATTTGTTAGCATTTGCTTCTTAGTCCAACTGTATAAGATTTCATGCTATGTTCCAAACAGAAACTTAAGTTTGTGGCCAAGAATTTAGCCTTTATAATATCATGTGCTTTTGAGGACCATAAACTGCCTCACACATCTGAAGGGTTCTGTTCCATGAAAAATTTCACTTCTCAGAAGCTCATTTTACATGCTCCTTCTGCATAGCAATTTCATGAAGCATCAAGACTGTGTCATCATCCTTTAGCTCTTCTGCCTTGCCTTTTTTCACCTCTCTTAACAAGGGTAATCTGTGTAGCTGGAAAGACTTAAGCACACAAAGCTTCAAAGCTATAATGGTATAATATAGGAGACTACAGATGTCTTTAAAGGCATGAAGTGCAACACTAGTGGTAATGATCTTTGCTTTCCCTCTCCTTATTTCCATGAATCCCTGAACTGTGAGAATGCATATTGCATTTCTATGTGCATCATTTTTTTTCTTACATTGGAATTCGGAATGTCAACACATTACACCCTTAAAATTAATGCTACAATCCTGCCTTTCTCTAATGTTCATCTTTGATACTCTGAATAAGTGGAATCTTTTCTTAGGTGTACGTAGAAGTGGCCATCCTTCAATTTCATAAGGGATTTTTCCAAATCATTGTTAAGTTAATCTTCCTTGGTTGTCTATGAAATCATGTTGTTTAAAGCACTGCAATTCTTTGGGGGATTGAATGGAAGGTGCTGACCTACTTTAAGTATTTTAAAACGCCTCAAATCCACTTTTTTAAAGGAGGAAAAAGGGCTACACAATTGCACAAAACACTTACGTGCCTGATCATAATTGCTACTTTCTTTGGAGTAGTGAAGAAGAAAGGTGAAAAAGAGGGTTGAAATGAACAGCAGAAGCAGACAGCAATTGGAGTATATTCCAGTAACCATTCGTTGGAAATGAATTGAACAGGAACTGGGTTGCAGTTTTTCAAGCAACAGCAGCAATATTGAAAAGCAACAATATGCAAAAGATTCATGTCTAAACACAACCTTAGTCTTTATTTGACCAAAAGACTTTTTCATTGTTTTGGTGATTGAGCAGAGTCCTGGTTCAGATGAAACGTTGAACTATCACTTACTATATAATCCAAATCTTGAGGTCTCATACACCTCTCCTCCTAGCTGGGTAGATTCAAAATAACATTGTGTATTACAGTTTAATTAAAAATGCCAGTGAATGCATACATTCATTGGACAGCCATAGCCAAAGAGCAGAGGACTGATGCTACTTTTTCTTGGGCTTGAAATGGATTGTGCTTCCCTGCCAAAACAATAGAAACTGTGGTTGGTTCCACCACAAAACCGCGTTCGACTAAAGGGCGCTCGCCGAAACCGCGTAGCTGACGTCATCACAGTGCGACAACAGCGCAGAGAAAAAAGCACGCTGTAAACGCTAAACCTAAAATTAACACCTAAACCTAACCCCCCTAAACCTAATCCTAAACCTAACCCTAAACCTAACCCTTAACCTAACCCTTAACCTAACGCTAATCCTAATCCTAACCCTTAACCTAACCCTAACCCTTAACCTAACCCTAAATCTAACCCTAACCCTTAACCTAACCCTAAACCTAAACCTAAACCTAAACCTAACCCTTACCTTAACTTGAATCGGCTTGCTTTCAAAGCGCTATTTAAAGCACCCTTCTTTCTCCGCGCTCGCTGTTGTCGGCCTGTTGATGACGTCAGTGACGCGGTTTAATCGGGTGCGCTTTAGTCGAGCACGGTTTTGTCGTGCCACAACTGTGGTTTAACCATGGAATTTGGCTTTTCATACATTTACAGCAGGGGTGTCAAACTCATGTCACGACAGTGTCACATGATGTATTGGGACTATTCCTCCCTTCACTAAACCGGGCATGGGCGTGGCCAGGGCGTGACGCATCCAGCCCACGGGCCGGGAGTTTGACAGCCCTGATTTAGAGGCACTTTCTGAAGAGAAAATAAAGTAATGCAAGCAGAGGGTGGGGGGTGCTGTAGTGGTGATTGAAGATGTATCTGCCAATTTTTAGGGACATTCTGGGTGAATTGTTTAGCCCTTAAAATGGACTTTTCTTCCTACCTTCCTAGCTAAAAGATTTGTACCTGGCAGAAACCACATCATGTATTTCCTTGAGTCACCACAGGATGGGGGGAGAGCACTGTAAGAGACGCATGACTAACTTTGCATTCATGTGCAGGATTCTTAAAAACTGAAATGTCAGCTATTATTTTCTGCATAACAGGAGAAAGAATGCTTTAGCACTGCCCAGCATTAATCAATTTTTAAAGGATTCATCAATTTCAGAATGCTTTATTTCTGGTGTAATGATCTCTGGCCAATTGCCATTTTAAAATATGGGATTGATTTAAAGAAGAAATAGAGCTTGTTTTGGTTTCAATGTTGATAATAGTATAAGGCATGAATTATACACCTAAAAATGTATGGAACTCTTTGTAGCATCAAAGCTCAAAGTGAAATTCAGCTTTGAAATTTAAGCTATTCTTCCAGTCAAATTTAAAATATTTTTATATGTAATTTTTATTAAAAACTTTTAAACCAGAAGGTAACATCTAACACAAACTAATAGAAAAAAAGGAACAAAAGAAAGAAAGAAATCAAAGAAAAAAATGTAAGAAAAGGAAAAAAATGAAGAAAAAAAAGAAAGAAAAAATACATAAGGAAGTGGCTTCCAATATTCTTCATAACAGTTATGAGTACGGATGTATTTTAACTTCTCTAAAGTTACATTGTATTATTTTTCTTTTTTTTCTATTTAATCATTAACACCATAAGTCCAAGTTGTTTTTTCATTTTTATGAAAAAATGCAATAAGAGGTTTCAAGTCAGTGAGTATAAAAGTATTTTTGAACTGGTAGGCTAGTTATATGACAAGCTCTATAAAAAGGAACCCTAATGTGTACATACCATCATTCAAGAAGCCTTTGAAAAGAAAACATATCTTTCCCCCTTTCTTTAGCCAATATTCAAAAAAGTTATAGTCCAGTTCTCTCATGGGTAAAGAGAAAAAAAAAATCCCACGAGGGTGTTCTCTGAGTTGTTTGCTTGAAGACATTTCATTACCCAAACAAGGTAATATCAACAGAGAGTCTAGCATTATGAAACATATTCCAAGAAAACAATCAAGTTCAGAGAATGTTCATCTCAACCCTGAGCTAGAAATATTCTCCTCTATTGTGAAAAAAGAATCTAAAATATTCTGATGTTCAGATATATACAATCTGCATACAAATGACATTAAAGTTTACTTAATGTATTATTTCTACTTATACCCTTTTCTGTGGATGTTGCCTTAATCAGATCCTGATAGCATCTGCACCACAAAGATATTCCTAATATTACATTTGATGACAGAAGAGTCAGGTTGTATTCTAACCTGACCTGGCATCATTAAACCCCTGGCTTCCAAAAATGTGATTAAAATTCCTCAAAGGAAGCAAATGCCACATTCATTAGCACTGATGATGTTGCTTAACTGGGTAATGAATGTTATAGTGTTGATGGTCCAACGTGAAATGAGAGACTAAAACTTCATAAAGATTCCCAGACATTTTCCATTACCCTTACAGAAAGTCTTAGGAAGTAATAACATTAATTATTAGGTAATAACATTAGACCAAAGAGATCCAGAATTTTTTTCTTTGCGTGATTAGATGAAGTATTTATTTTATTACCTTGTTTCCCTGAAAATAAGACCTCCCCGAATAATAATCGGGCTTTTGAGCGCATGCGCTAAAATAAGCCCTGTCTTTGAAAATAAGCCCATCCTGAAAATATTGCAACACAGCAGCAATAATGGGGTGATCACGCTCGCCACCTCCTGCATCTAAGAAATAATAAGACATCCCTGAAAATAAGGCCAAGCGTTTATTTTGGGGGTCAAAAGAAAATAAGGCCCTGTTTTATTTTTGGGGAAACATGGTATATTTAACAATAAGATTGGGAGTTCCCTATTTTCCAGGAATATTTCACATGCCTATAGCCATCACTCTCCACACTGACAATACCCCTAGAACCCCCTATTTCACCTTATGATTTTTTTTTAGATTGTTTAAATTAAATAATAAACAGGAAGCTGGCATGTGGTTGGAAGCTGCTCAATTAAAAGTTAGAAGTTGAAAGCTGTCATCTTTAAAGTGTATTATAAACATTTTACAAAGTAAAACATAGTGGTTGGTGCTGAAACCAAAACATGAAATTGTTTTATTTAAAGTGTGTTCATCTGCCCAAAAAGAGCAAAAAAAGTTTAAGCGATAAAAAGCATTTTGGACAGTAGAAGCAAACATAGTTATAACAACTGTGCAATACTTTGGTTCTGACTTGGAAGAGCTGCTTCAGAATGTGCAGGAATGGGAAAGCAGTGATTTGTGAATGCAGCTGTGTGTGCTTTTATGAATCACGGGTTAGAACTGTGTTTGTATTGCTGTCCTTTCCAATATTTTTCTTCCAATTCAGTCTGGACCATTGCACAGCCCCAATACACTGACCATTTATTTATTGAATAAAGTTTATTTGAATGCACTATTTCAATATTATCTCTAATTTGGCTTAGGCATAGAAGACACTTAGAAGTGATCCATCTGTTTTCAAAAACAGAAATAATACCTTTCAGGTGGCTTGAGATCATGACGCTAGCAAACCAGACCTCCTTGTATATTAAAGAAAACAAAATGGCATGTGGTAGTAGCTTTATCTGCTGGATGATGCCAGCAATATTCTCTATACTGCATCAAGACTGCTTGTAAAAGTAAATAAAATGGCTGCATAATATATGTGGAAATTGCTATATATTTAGCTTAAATATTCAAATAATGAGGGATGCAGTGGCTCAGTGGCTAAGACGCTGAGCTTGTCAATCAGAAAGTTGGCAGGTTGGCAGTTCGAATCCCTAGTGCTGTGTATCGGAGTGAGCGCCCGTTACTTGTCCCAGCTTCTACCAACCTAGCAGTTCAAAAGCATGTAAAAATTCAAGAAGGAAAATAGGAACCACCTTTGGTGGGAAGGTAACAGCATTCCATGCACCTTTGGCATTTAGTCATACCGGCCGCATGACCACAGAGACATCTTCGGACAGCGCTGGCTCTTTGGCTTTGAAACAGAGATGAGCACTGCCCCCTAGAGTCGGGAATGACTAGCGCATATATGCGAGGGGAACCTCTACCTTTTATTCAAATAATCCAATGATGGTCTTAAATATTTTTTGACCAATTCTAATTTGGGCGGGTCCATTCAGCC